CCCCAAAACCCCAAAACCCCAAAACCCCGTAATAAGCATTATTTACAAAATTTAGATTAAATCAAATAAATCTTAAATCTTTTAATCAATCTAGATCATTGATTAAGATTGTTAATTCTGACAAATACTTGTTAGAGCGAGGCTTCAAAGAATGAAAAATCTTCAATCACATTTTCTACAGATTTCATCTTAACTAATTCTTCGAATAGCTAGCTAATCTTTGCAGATTTCTTATCCACTTTATAAACTTCTTAAACTTAGTTATCACTTGCAGTGTTTGAATTAAACAGCTATACTTGCTCATTGATTTGATCAAGCGATATATCTGGATTCTATCTCTAGATTAGTTTTTACAATCTGTTAAGTATCTAGTCTTTAGGGTTTTTAACTAATATTAAAAAGCTATCAGCATACTGGCTCTTAAGATAGTCAGGTGATCCCATACACACAATCTCTCCACCTATCATAATTGCAACTTAGTCACATAGATACTCAGCTTCATCTAGTCTATGTGTGGTAAAGAGGACTGAATTTGTATTGTGCTGGGTATTCTATTGCTTTACTAATTGTAATACTGATCTACGAGCAACTGGATCAAGTCCAACTGTGGGTTCATCAAGGAATATAATAGAGGGGTTTGCGAAAATAGTGAGAGCTGTTTGAAGTTTACGTTTATTACCTCCGCTTAAAATATCCTAAAGCTTATCTGGCTTGTCTAAGTCTAGTTTCTTTGAGATATATTCGTATAGCTCCATGCTATAAGTAGGCTAATAACCTAGGAACTAGCCAAGTATTTTAAAGTGGTCCATAATTGTAAGATTAGGCCAAAGGATTAGATCCTAAGCTGAAATTGATATATCCTAAGGCCTGAAAGTCTTCAAATCTGAAATGCTTTGCTTTTAAATTTCAATCCTTCCACCAGTGCGCTAGATTTATAAAGTAAGCATGTTAAAAGTAGAAGACTTGCCAGCACCATTTGGACCTAATAATCCATAGATTGAATTCTCTTTTACATTGAAGCTGCAATTTTTAACAGCCATAACTTTTCCATTATAAGTCTTAGATACTTAAATTGTTCTTATGTTATTTTTCTCATGCACACTCTATTCCATGATTTCTTTTTCCTTTTGGTCCTCCTCAATAGTTGCTTTTTTCTCAGAATTTCTAAGTCTTCTCTCCCTTATATTTTCTAGTAAAATTACAGATACCAAGTAAAACACCCCTGAAACTAAAAGCACTGTAAGACATTCATTAATTGTAGTAAAGTTATTAGGACATGAATCTGCAAGCTGCTTCGCTTCCTCAAATCGTTTTTAAGCCTCAGCAGGTACGTTCTTGAATTCATTCATCTACTTGGTCTTAGACTGTTATTCATCAAGAAAGTCTTTGTGAGCTGACCAGATGATGTCTTTCATACCAATATAAAGAGGTTAAAGCGGCACAAAAGCGCAGATAACCTCTGCTAAATGAAAAGCCTCACAGCCAAATGATAAGAAGATCATGTTCTTGATTAAGAATGGGAAGAAAAATCCACCTGTCATGTAAATGAATGAAAATACCTTGATGGCACTATCAGCTGAGGTAAACCAAAAGCTTACAAAATAACTCAATCCGATATGTGCAAAACCAAAACTAATCAAAAGGATCAAAGTCTTCTCAATTTCGATTATAAAAGCATTTAATTTCAAAGGGTATATCACAGCAATCATTATTCCAACCCAAAAGCTAATAATAAACATATCGAATAGCAAATTAGCAAACCAATAAACATATTAATTTACTCCAATAACCTTCAAGTAATACCTTAGCTTTAAAAATCTCTCCTTAACTGGGATCTCTACAAACATACCTGAGCATAAACTCAGAGATAGCACTATCCAAACTGCGTACATAATTTCAAAAGCATATTCTAAACCTTCTTTCATCATTCTTTCCTTTCGTTTCTCCGCCTCTTTTAGCATGATTTCTTCAAGAGTTTCTGTTTCTGGCAATTCTTATGGCTTAAAGAATTCATCATCTTCATCATCAAAGTATTTTTAGAATTATGGGTCTACATCATTATTACCTTTCTACTTAGCAGCATTCTTATCTGATATGTTTACTCCTCTCACTTAATTAAGCTCATTGATAATTTTCTAGTCTTAAACTGGTTTTAAGTTGGCTTTAGACGTTGAGTTGTAGAGTTTATCGTATGATTCCAATTCCTTAATCTTTACAAATCCATAGGTAATCACAATAAATATTATCACCAAAGGAAGCACAAGTAGTCCCCACATTCTCCAGTCCCTTTTAAAGTTATACCATCTCTTTAAGAGAATTCCCTTCGTTTAGCTAATTATTATATTCCCAACTTTCTTACTATCATCAAAAGGTATCTTAGAGCTTTCACTAGATTCAGCTGACTGTAAATTTTGCTTCTTAACATTTGAAAAGTTTAAGAATGCCTCCTCTAGACTATTCAAGACAACCTTGAAAGTGATATCCTGAATATTTTCAAGTTCTCTAAATAGCCTGTGATAATTGTCGATCTGATTAATATGCAATATATATTCAACTGATGATCTCATAAAAAGCTCATTTTACTTCAAGTAACTTCCAGGGACATGGAAGCTAACTAATTCTTTAAGTTAATCCAATCTATCTTGGCTTATAATGCTTTCATCTCTATTTGAGATTTTAAGGTTGTAGCCTACCCCAAAACGCTTTTTTATATCATCAACAGATCCTTGTGATACCAATTTACCAGTCTCAAGAAGTGCTAAACTATCTGCTAACTGTTCAGCCTCCTCTAAATGCTAAGTTGTCATCAAAATACATCTGTCCTTCTTTAGATCTTTAATTAAATTCCAAATCATATCTCTCACTATTGGATCTAGACCAGTGGTGGGTTCATCTAAAATCAATACTTCACTTTCAGCCACAATACCCATAGCAATTGACAATCTTCTCTTCATACCACCACTTAGCTCCTTTACTTTCTTATTCCTATCCTTGGTCAAAGCCACAGTTTCAAGAATTTCAGATATCCTGTCCTTAATCTTAGCCTAACTAAGCAACTTTAATCTACATATCAATTCCAAATGCTATTGAATAGTAAGCTATTCAAATAGAATGTCATGCTACTGACAGAGACCTAGTTTTAATCTGATCATATTTATATCCTAAGTAATGTCAAGACTACCCTAAGTTTTTGACCTCATATAAATAGTACCTTAATTGGGTCTATGATTTCCTGTCAGAATGTTTAAGGCTGTTGTTTTACCAGCTCCATTATGACCTAGCAAACAGAATATTTGATTCTTAAACAGATTTAAACTTAGATTATCAACAGCCTTATAGGATCCAAATTTCTTAGTAACATTCACATACTAAAGGAATGGATTACGAGCCTCACTAAATTTTTCATTATTCTTTTGCGAAAGCAAGTCAGCCTCATCTTCAATATTTTTCTTATTAAGTTGAGCATTCTTAGTTTGATATCTTAGTCTCTTGAAATTCTTGTAGATCACTCTTCTATTTTCAATGATCATATTTAGGATAAAGTAGAAGACAATGTCAAATCCTTGCATTATGAAATAGAGTTATCTGTTTATCTTGTGATTGTCTTCAAACTTATCTTCTGAAAAAAGAGAGTACTAGACTTTATTGAAGTTATGATGTGGGAACAACATTAGTAGATAGGGATGAGTTTCATCATGATTGATAGCTCTGTTTTAATTAATTGCATCATGAATTTCTTTCACTTTCAAGTATACTGAAAATGCTATCGGTATTAGTAAGATGAGAGATCCTACAATAAAATATTAAATTGAAACGTGTCAATTTATACCTAATTACGAAGCCATGCTCGATTTTTGAAACATATGAGAGATAAACATAGCCTGAGAGATGAGTCCCAAGATAAGCAAATATATGCTAAAGTTGAATTGCAGTAGCTATTCAGTCCTGAAATTGCACTCTGAAAAGAATCTAATTAGTATTGTGTTCCCCATAGTTATCTATGATAGTTCTATGAGATTAATGAATCTTACTAAAAAGGCTAGGATACCCTCAGATACGAGATAACTCAAGTGATAAGAGTTAATATCGCAGCCATTAATCAATAAATATTCCTTCATACCTGATTCCTTTTCAGATACTATCTGACCAAGGATTTTTCTTAGCAAGAAAAAAAAAGATAAGGGTAAGATCAAATTTGCTAATAAACTCTACAAAAATTTATTAATGTCATCTGGCTAGGCACTATCATCTAAAAAGTTAACTCTTATCTTAATCTTACCAACACCATAGAGTCTTTTTATTTAATAATAGCAAAGGAGAGTAGGAGCTATTATGTCGAAAAATGTACCTATGTACCCATATCTTTTAATTATCCAATTCTTCTTGGTTAATGCAATAGTTTGCTTTACTTTAGATTGCATTTTATTAATAAATTATGTTAAATCTTTTTTCTTCTGAAAATATCTTTAAAAATCTACAGAGGGGTTTTGGGGTTTTGGGG